GCCTTACACAGTTTCTCTCGAGAAACGACAACATTTTCTTTATAAAATCGTTCGTTTGAGCCAGAAACTCACGAAGAGCTGAAATTGCTTCCAAATATAGAGCAAACGCCGGTGTATCAACGGTGAAAATTGACCAAATTTATAAAGATCTTGGGAATTTTTGGGCACTTTGAGCTCTTCTCGGCAGCTCTCCTACAAGGTACGATTGAAAAATTCGCACAGTCCGCCGCTCAAAAGTCAGAGCTCTGAAGTTTCTCCCCAATATAGAGCTGATCTTGCTCTATTAACGGGGTAAATTTCAAATGTTTGTTAGTTCCCATCAAAATTTGGAAGTTAGTGCAAGTTTGCTTGGCAAACTCGCTTTTGAAATCCCAAAGCCCAATTTAAAAAAAATCGCCTTTTGATCCTCTGAGTAGTCAAGAAGCTCGTGCTTACAGCAAATATAGAGCAATCCGGGCTCTATCAGCTAGCACAATTTCCAATGGCTAGTGAGATCTAGGGAATTTTAGGGAATTCTCGAAATTTTGCTGAACAGTTTTGCTGTTTTTTTCCATTTTTGGAGTGGTCAGTACCAGCCGTAGAGCAAACCGTGCTCTATAAAACGGAAAAAGCTTTCAAGTTGCAACTGGTTTTAGGTTGCCAGATTTTGCAGGAAAACCGGCTTTTSTGCAGAAATGATTGGTAAACTCGCACCCATAAGGTTCGCAAAAATGCGGTTTAGTTGCGATTTAAATGAAAATTTGCACATTTTAATGGTAGATTSGCAGCACTAGATTGCGCTAATTTCYAGTTGCATTTTTTCGCACCAATTTTTGAATGYGATCTTTTGTAAGAAACCGAAAATCTGCACATTCCAAGACTGGTTTTTAAAAAATCAGTAAAAATCTTTCGTTAGTGCGATTTACACAGAATTCGGCAGTCTTTTAGCATCGTCTATCCTCTATGGACTGCGTGAATATCAAGTTGCTGCTTGTCCTGGTTTGGAAGATATGAATTTTTGAAGGATTGCGCAGAAAAATGGTTCAAAACCGGCACTTACAGAGTGCATAAAAATCAGGTTTACCCGTGATTGCATTGAATTTTTTTGCGTTTGATGCCCAAAATGTCTGCTGTTGAGTGCGTAAATTTCAAGTTTCAGCATGTCCAATTTTTCAAGATATGACATTTTTGAAAAGTCGGCAAAAATACAAATTTTGCGCGATTTAACTGCGAATTTCGGACACTTTCGCGCCGATTACCGTTTGTCCAGAGCGTAAATTTCAAGTTGTTACTTGTTCTAATTTGTCCGATATCAATTTTTGAAGAAAACCGTGCAGTTGCAGCAAAAAACACACAAAGTCTTGCACTCGTTTAGTCTACAAAAATCAGCAATAAGTCCGATTATAATGAAAATTTGCACAATTTAAGTGCTAATTGTGGGCTTTAGAATCCGTTAATTTCAAGTCTGTGCTTGTTCTATTGGTGAAGTTACGATTTTTTTCACAGCGAAGAAACTCAACAACTAAAACGTGCATTTACAAAGTCCAATTTTTTTTAATTTCTCCTCCTTGCAAAGGCAATTCTAGATTTTTTAACATCGATTGTTACTTTTAGGCCGCGCGTTTGTCCTGTTGCTACTTGTTTTAATTTCGAAAATGTTTATTTTTTAATTTGCTGTTGTCCATGTTGATGCACGAAGTCTGGCACTTAAAAAGCACACAAAAATGACAATTCTAAGCGATTTTAATTGAAACTTGCCCATTTTAAGTGTAAAGTGTGGGCTTTCTGGAGTGAAAATTTCAAGTTCCTGCTTGTCCCATTTCGAAAGTTATTCATTGTTTGGTGGCGAAGAAACATGCACGTGGAAACTCGCGTTTGTAAAGTCCGGAAAAATACAAAATTTGACCCGATTTTCCTGAAAGTTTGGCACATTTTGCCACTAATCATCTCGTTTACACTTACACTGCAAAAAATTTCAAGTTGCTACTTGTTTTAGTGCAGAAGTCATGAGTTTCGAATAAAAACTGTGCGCTTGTGTAAAAACTATTTTTTAAGCGACGCTTGCAAAGTCCACAAAAAATCTGGTTTCACTGCC